TGGCCAATGTGCAGCCTGGACCTAAAAAAGATAGCCGTACTGATCCTGCCAACTATCGGCCAATTTCAATTACCCTCATACTCTGCAAGATTATGGAGAGTATATTGAATGCCCGCTTTAGGGCATACCTAGAACAGAATAACCTCCTTAGTGACCGGCAATATGGATTTCGCCAAAATCAGTCAACTGGGGACCTTCTAGCGTATGCCACACACGTATGGTGCGAGGCTCTCGAGAACAGTGGGGAAGCACTTGCTTTTTCCCTTAATGTCTCGAAGGCCTTTGATAAAGTTTAGCATACTATCCTTTTGGGTAAACTTCCAGCGTACAGCGTATCCCCTGGTCTGTTTGAATGGGTAAAGAAATTTCTGAGTGAACGGTCTTTACGGGTCGTCGTAGATGGCTGTTCATTCGTTCCTCGGGGGTCCGTTCTCTCTACAACTCTCTTCCTCCTGCATATTAATGATCTGCTTATGCCCGGTATCTATGCGTATGTAGACGATAGTACAGTTGTGGAGAGATATCAACCAAGTCCTTGGGTCAGTCGGGATCAAATCCAGTCCGAAAGAGAAGCTATGGTAGAGCGTGTGAATCTCAAACTACAGGCAGTCTCCGAATGGGGCAACTCCAACCTTGTGAAATGCAACGCCTCCAAAATACAAGCATGTCTCTTGACTGCAAAAAAGAGCCAGCTCTCCTTGGCGCCTTCTTTCCGAAATGTATCACTTGAATGTGCCGACCGTACCGACCTTCCGTTTGAGATATCCCCAAATCTGAGCTTGGGGCGGTTCATTGAGTTCAAGGCCAAAGCAGCTGCAAGAAAGCTCCGTCAAAGGGAGTCCGTGCAAAGGTGCGGCGATAATTCACGCTGGGACAGCTGCTTACTTTATATAAAGCGCAAGTCCGGTCGTGCATGGAGTATTGCTGCTATATATGAGCTGGTTCTGCAAAAAGTCACCAAGCAGCTTTGGACTCAATGGAAAGGCGTGCCAAGAGGCTAATTGGCGAACTGAATCAGGATAAAACAAATCCTCGAACACAGACGCAAAGTGGCCATCCTTTCGGTTTTCTACAGTATGCATTTCGGAAAGTTTGCGCTGAAATTGCATAATTTAATTCCACCATCGGACAGTCTCCACCCATTCTTTGTTGACTTACCACGCATTTGAACCAAACGGTTAGCAACGTCGTTCATCATGCGTACAAAGGAGTGGAATAAGTTGCCAGCGTTTGTCTTTCCATCTGATTACAATGTGGGTGATTTCAAGGCAAAAGTGAATAGGTTTTTGTTAAGTCAGTGTGCTTCACCATCTTAGGCTACATCACCACTTAACATCAGGTAGGATCGTATATAAGCGCTTATCTACAATCCCACCTGATGGTTAGCATTTCAAGCTGACTTGAAGCACCAACTTGCGGGAGTCTACAATTTGTGAACATATTCAAAATCGTCTCCGCCATTACATTAGAATTGATAGACTACAAATCCTCGCAAAAGAACACCGATTCCTACCGACGATGATTCACGTGGCTATTGGGATCAATAAACATCCTAATTTCAAAAGAGAAGATGGATGTGTGCTGCCATCTGCTTGGGATGCTATAATTAATAAAATTAAATCTAAACCTGCAATAATAGCCCTGCAATAATACCACTGCAAGATTTCAAAATATTGTGAGCTCATTCTGCGTAGATCGTACTAAAATTTAATATTCAAAAACTGAATGTAGCCGGGCTAACGACGACATCGAGACGTCAAACACCTCAGTCCCCCTTCTGACCATGGGTGCTGTAAAGCAACCGAAACGTCGGAAATTAAAAATTAAATTAAACGCGATAGAATCCGTAAAAATAAGTTTCATTTAATGCGTAGTCTCTGCTTAAATATAAGAAATCATTATGTGAAAACAACGATCATATATAACGTCCATGATACATCTATGCTTGTATTTGGAGCTTGTATGGGAGCACTAAGTTCGAAGTTGTTGACTATTACGTTTACCTGGGACAAATACTACAACTGGGTAACTCCAACTTGACCGAAAGGTCAATCGACAGATTCAACTCGGCTGGGCAGTGTTCGGGAAATTACGATGCATCTTTTCGTCAGGTATACCTCAAAACTTGAAAGCGATATCGTACAATCAGTGCGTATTGCCAATGATGGCTTATGGATCTGGGACGTGGTCCTTCACCGCTGGCCGTATGAGGAAGCTCAAGGTATCTGAGTGAGCTATGGAGAGGGCTATTATTGGGGTTTCTCTGCGTGATAAACATAGAAATGGGGATATCCGCAGTACCAGTAGGCGAAATGTAGGGCGAGCCCCCACTAGATGTGAGTGACGACCTTGTAAGACATGCAGGACGTCGATGAAAGTACGTGGCATATATTCAGCAGTGGACTTTTATAAGCTGTAACGGATGGATGGAAGGTCACTCGAATAGTGCTGTAGTGTCGATGAAGATAAATATATCGGTGCAAGACTTGGTGAATAAGGGTGTGTTGATATTTCGCAGTTAGATTCTAATAATTTGATACGTAAAACGTTTGCCACTCGTGCGTTGTTGTAAAGGTTATAAAATAATTTATGTTGTAGACGCTTTTCCTTAATATTTTCAGCTAAGACTGTAATTGTTAAGTTACAGCGTTGTTATCATTTGATTATCAGGCAGCAATTCAAACATAAATACTCCTTAAGTATCTTAGAAATCACAACCAAAATTTTTCTTTAAATAGTTTTTTTTTGTGAACTTTATTTTATTTTACTAGGTAGTTGGACTCCTTTTCTGTGGGTAGGTATCAGGTATCTCTTACGTATTCCTGCCGCCAAATAGCAGTGCTTATATTGCTATGATACTATCTGAAATCTATAGAGCCAGTTTAATAAGAGGCTGTGATGCATTTTTTTATAGGACAGGGGGACAAACGAGCACACAGTCTACGTGATGGTAAGTGATTGCTGCGGCCTATAGACATCTACATCCATCCTCAATAAAGAATCAAAACGCAGATGCGTCATCATCCGTCAGGACAAAGATAGAATGCCTCTTTTCCAGTAAAATGGGTCTCAGGTTCAAGCAGTGTTAAGCTGCTATTTTACGCTGGTATTCTGTGAGAGCGTGGTCTTTCCCCGGTCGAGCCGACCCATTCGTGCTACAACGATAGTACTAATATAGCTGCAGCATGGCTCTACTACGTAAAAGATTCCATGCATTTCATATTAGTCCCCACAGATGACAACGCATCTGAGGCCATTTTGTTATAAGTTTGCTGCAAGTGTTTGTGTGCTGTAGTCAATTTCTTTAACAATTCAATGTAATATTAAAAATATCACAAAACCATTTCGCCGCTGCATTGGAACACGTTCTCAAACTACTGGATTGGAAAGGGTACTGTAACAGCTATAATGGTGATTATATTACTCACCTTTTATTTGCTACATTATTCATAATGGAAGAGTCACTGAATGATCTCAACGCTATGATCAATGACGAAGAAAGGTTTTAGAGTGAGAGCCGCGTACTGACTCGTAGTTATAAGTGTAATGCGGCCCCCCACTAAATGGGGAGACGTCCTGGTAAGACGTGCAAGTAGTCGGTAGATGCAGGTGACATAGGACGTACCTACTTTATTGTATTCCTTCGGGAAGACCCATGAGCAGCAGTGGTCTTTTGTTGGGCTATGGTGATGATGATGATTTCCAGCAGTGGGCTGTTTCGGCCTGATAAATAATGTTGAAAGAACTCCACTATGTTTGTATGTTGTCAGATAAAAAGTTAAGAATTGTATAAATAATCCACAAAATATTGTTTCAACGATCTCATCTTTATTTATATCTCTTACTTTATTATATTTACATATGAGGCAGTAACAGTGTCAAAAAACCAAACTCAATTACACTCGGAACCACTGTTTAACGAAGTGCGAGTAGAATAAATTATAACGATCACCGGGCCACAGACCGCTCCAGGATATAATATCTCCTAACAGTTCAGCTGTCTGCATTGCAAGGTAATTTCGTATATGTCCGCAAAGAAGACATCTCAAGTTTTTTGAGAATTAACCCTTTTAGTGTCATTAACTTGAGCAGGCTTCGTCGAGGATAGCCGCCGGTTAAACTATAACTAGTTTAAGGGGCAACTTGTTCTTTGAACACAGAGGAGCCACCCCGGACGTTAACAACGATTTCGATGTTGATGAAATGCAGGGGTGGGAACAAAATGGCAAAAATTTGATTCATGTTTTTTTTTTTCTTCAATTAAATCAATTTCTTAAATCAAATAATTTTAAGCTCTTATTATTAACAATCAATAATAAACTCCCTCATTAAAAATTTATTATCTATTTAAGATATATATATTAAATCGATTTGCAAACAAAAATAACGGACGCTGATGTAACAACATTTCACGTTTCCCGCACCCCTCGCATTACTTTATAAATACGAAAAAATGTTACATTTAATAATAATTATTATATTTACAATTTTACAAACGCTAACGTGAAAACACGCACAGCTCATTGTCATAATTATTATAAAGTTCCAAGATTCGATTATGGGATGTTGGCAAGCGAAGTGGTGATGCCAAACAACACTAGGACCGAAGGTCGTAGCGAGTCTCCAGGGCCAGGTACGGCTTGATCTCGTCGGTCAAATATCCTCAAGTTTCATTTAGATACTTAACCAAATTTAATTTCGCCGGGTATATAATATAACCCATTCTTTTATTACTTAGAAACACTTAATTGCACTAAGAGCGGGCTGAAATAAGTTCACTCTAAATTAGCGAGTTCTCTGGACAAGTTCGCTGCGAGATGTGTGAGAGCGGCGACTCAGGAACACTCATCGCGGCTGACGGCGCGTGTGTACGCTGGACACTCCGCACACACGCGCACTCTCTCTCTCTATCTCTCTTTCTCTCTCTCACACGTACACACACACACATACGCGCGCGCACACGCAAACATTCAAACGCCGCACTCGGCGACCTGCAGCCGCTATTTGGGTTCATCTTCGTCGTGACACAGTAACACTCTGAAAAAAAAAGGACTCGGTGAGACACGTTGGATGATATTCAAGTCACAAAGAAAATAAAAATATTATTATTAAACTGTTAAAAGAACCAGATGCTCTTTATCTTTTTTATCTTTATTTAAATTTCACCACCTTAAAATTACGGCTACATAATTTAAATCATATAGTTGAATTTAATTGTACGTAGTTAAACTAATAACATGATATTGAATTTTGATATTGAAGAGATCTTTCCAAACATTTTTGATAATCACAGTGTTAAAGCTAATGGTGGCTTTAATACTGCGATTATCAAGAATGCGACACTAGATTCACTTCTAAACGAGGCATTAAAAATACATGCATATACAATATCAGATGTTAAACGTCAGAGACAATCGAACTAGCACAATCAGACCCAGAAATGAACATTATTTTTGTATAAGTAATTAAAAGTGAATTTCATGTTAATTCTTGGTGGTGACTACGTACTGGATTGTGTGATTTTTGTCACCACTATACTAACGAGAATACAGCCCATCTGACGGTAATTGGCTACTGCGTCCCATGGAAATCTGTAACCGACATCAAATAAAGAAGGCGTTCAAATGCGTTTTCACCTGTGAGAATTGATTTTTACAGCCTGTAATTACACTGGCCCTGCACACCGAAACACAGCAGTACAAACACTGTCATATGGTGGCATCTGCCCAGAAGGACTCCTAGGCAGGGAAGGGGTTCTACCATCCCCCATACGGTGATTCTACCAGTTTTTATTGTTTTACAAATGTTAGCTCTGGCTAGGATAAACAAAACGATTTAAAAATAAAATAAAAACAAAAAATACATTAATTTATTGAAAAGACTTTCATATTGTGCTAAAACAAATCAAAAGAGTAATTTAGTATACTCGTGTTGGGGCGTTTCGCTCTTATCCTGGTCTTACCATATTTTAAGATCTTATAATTTAATAATACAGGTATTTAGGTCTTACATTACATTTTTACGTGAGAGAGCTACACTGTAGCTGTATTATGGTCGAAGCATGAATGGGTCGGATACACCGGTATAGGACGATTCTTTCACAGATTACCAGCGTAAAATAACAGCTTAATGCTGCTATGTTTCGTGTGTGGTGACTGTATAGAACCGGGAATTGTTTTTCTGGAAACAAGGTATTCCATCTTAGTCCGCATGGGTGAAAACGCATCTGAATTTTGATTCTTAATCGAGGATAAATATAAATGTCTATGGGCCACGTATTCACTTACCATTAGGTGGAGTGTGTGTTCGTTTGTCACCCGCATTCCTTTCCATTCCTCATTTACTAGTCTATATTTGTATTTGTGAGCGTAATATATTGTATGTGTGGTCGTGTGGTAAGTACCAAGGCAGTATAAAAATTCAGGAGTGCTTACTGTAGCATCGCAAGCGCGGCGCGCAGTGCGGCAAGCAGCGTGACGACGGGTAGCGCGGTCGTGTTGCCGTGCTGCATGGTGTGTGATTGTGTGTGTGTGCGTGTGTGAGTATCAGGGCAGTATAGAGCGAGGAGTGCTTACTGCAGCAGCGCGAGCGCGGCGTGCAGCGCGACGAGCAGCGCGACGAGCGGCGCGACGGGGCGCGCGGCCGCGTTGCCGTGCTGCATGGCGGCCGGCTGCTCGCCTGAAATCAGCCCGTCTGCGCTTCACTCTCTCCGCCATATCCATTTTAAAAACTACCTAAGCCCACTTTACAATATTTCAACTATAGATCTACCAGAAAGAATAAAATCACCTCTATCATCAGCGTCATCGATATATCGATATTTGATAATATTATATTGTTGTTTGTTTTGTTTGTAACTCCAAAAAAATTCCCTTCAGAAATATTACTTTAGGAATATTTCGTTCTTCTATTAAAAATTATTTAGTCAAAAAACACTGAATTGAAGAAAAAAAAAACTTCGACGCTTTATATAACTACCTACCAAAACATCAATTTTCCTAATGCAATTACAATCTCTTTGTTGTTCAATAAGAACTAAATGAATTCATTCACATCGATCTACAGAAAATCTTCCTTAATACTCACGAAATAAATTAAAATTTTATTGCTATTATTTTGTTAAAGTTAAAAAATAGTAATTATTAGTTCAATTTTTAAAATTCTATGAAATATTAATGTTTGACATAACTACACTAGCTCAAATTAAATAAGCGAAAATAGGAAATAAATTTCTCAGCAGCTAATAAATATAATAGAGAAAAGAAAAAAATACTAAATATTTTTATAGAAGTTTTATTTACAAAATGGAAAGTATTCTCACCGCTAAGGACGTGCAGTACGACGGAGGCAGAGTCAAGGTTGGAGGGCGAACACGAGTAATTACCCGAGTCCTCTCTTCGCGGGTTGTATATAATCAAATTGCCGACCTGATTGCAAACAGAATCGTGTATTAACTATAGGCTTATTTTCAATATCTTGTTTTAATGAAAATACAATATAAAGGCTTCAGGATATCAGTTTATCGAAATTAAGGTATTTTAACAGTATGGAAGGCATTTAAAAGTGCTTAAATTTCAAGACATATTGTAAGCAGATTAATGAGGAATAATTAATTATTAAATATCTCATCTGATTTCCTCTTGGTCTAGTGGTCGTAAACACTTTGCAGATCTTAAGGTCTCGGGTTCGAATACCGGGTCGGGCAAAAATCATTATTAGTAGGCTTATTGAGTTTATCAGTTAAGATATTCTTTGTAGATGCCCGGAGTCTGGTTGTGCCTTAGAAACCACGTAAAGCCGTTGGTTTTTTTTTATAGGATAAGGTGACAAACGAGCACACAATCCACCTGATGATAAGTGGTTGCTGTGACCTATAGACATCTACATTTATCCTCAATAAAGAATCAAAATGCAGATGCGTTGTCACCTGTGTGGACTAAGATGTAATGCCTCGTTTCCAGTGAAAAGGGTCTCCGGTTCTCTACACTCACCATACGAAACACAGCAGCGTTAAGCTGCTATTTTACGTTGGTATTCTGTGAAAGCGTGGTCCTTCCCCAGTCGAGCCGTCCCATTCGTGCTACAACTATACCACTAATATGTTATGTATGGTTTCACGCCTAACCTCTGTCTGGTAATGTCGGCTTACAGGCCCATTGGACTATGAGAGTGAGGGAATAAAAAATGCACTTGTGTTCGCGAACAAATTCAGGCACTATAATCCTGTCCTGCGCAGATGACTAGTCCCTGTTGAAATAGGACGCCGTGAACGAAATTCGGTCTGGAGGACATTATCCTATTTCGTACTATCCTATTAACTTACATTATAAACGAGAAAGTTAGTGACTATGTATGTATGTTTGTTACTCTTTCACACAAAAACTACTAAATGGATTTTAATGAAACTTTACAATTATATAGCTCATACATCAGAATAACACATAAGCTATAATTCATGAATATATTGTGTAAATTGGCCAAAATATAATGATAAATGTTAAGTAAGTCGGCAAAAATCTGTCATCTGCGAGCTATTTTGGCGTTACACGAATATAATGTTTGGTGGGACTTTTTCTTCTAAATCCTAAATAGTTCTACAAAAAAGTCCGCGACAACAGTAGTATTTATATTTTATGTGTAAGTCATTATTACCAAAATAGTGGACCATAAATGTAATAAAATTTGGTATTTTTAAAATGTGTGTTGGAAACACATTTTGTAAAAACACATTGATTTTTATCAAAATAAATACTTTTGTCGCGTTTGATATTGAAAGCAAACAAACTTTGTCTTTTAAACTCCGTAATTTGGCCAAATATTTTAAGTTACTATGATATAAAATTATGCGGTCCGGCGCGCGCAGGGCGGTCGGGCGCACTGCAGGCGAGGTAGGGGAAAACATCACTCATCGCTAAGCTAAAGATGATATGATGCTTACGCATGGCAGACAAATGAGTCTAGATTTAACTATATATACCATAATAAAACTCTAACACGGCGTCTATCTGAACACGCATCACAAAAACCTGAGAACCGATATTGGATGGGACTTTCACTAGCAGCTAGCTGATGTTATATGAAGTAACTTAGTCTACTTTTATTATAGGGTTCCACGCAAAATAATTCCACGCGGGTAAAGTCGCAGGGAATAGCTAGTTGTCTTTTAATACAAACTTCTAATTTAACAAATGTGACCTTAAAGATCTAATAATTTATATTGTATTAGACAAAATTCAATTAGTTAAAGATGGAGTGGGGAATGGAGGAGAAATAAGAAAGGCGAGGTACCGTGGTGTCGGGCGCGATGCGCTCCATGCGTATCTCGACGAGGCTGCGATCGTAGTTGAGCACGCGCGCGTCGTTGTGGTACCAGAAGATGTACGCGGGCTCCTCGAGAGCTTGCGTGATCACGCACTTTAGGCTCACCGTACTCCCCGCCTTCACGTACAGGTCCGCTTCGCCCATTATTTCGATTTTTGGCACTAAGAGACCAAATAGTAATTTGTAAATGCCTAATAGAAATGTTTTATATGTATTTATATTCTGTAAAATTACAAAAAAGCAAATATTAAAAGAAAAAGTCATAACGTGCCTTTTTCCTATAATTTTCTTATTCTGCCCAGAAACTTGATTTACAATTCCAATGAATTATTCACTGGAAGCTTTCTGATTAGCAGATGTCACGCCTATTTTTTCAGTTTTATGTCAAAGCTTTTCTTAAGTCACTGATATAATGTATTTTAAGTACCTATAGTTATTTGACTTTGGCGTTTAGTCAGTTTTGGATGAGATTTGTCAACTACATACCTGACCCATCGTTAAAGCTGTCGTCATCGAATCAAATTTTTATGTGGTTTGTTGCCAAGAGCATTTGCAAGAGGCTGACTCGATGTACTTTAAATAATATTAATTATACAAAATTTCTCATGTAATATCTCTGTGAATTCATAGGCAGAAACATAATGATCTATTAGGAGGTGAGTGATTATGTATGATATTTATCTAAAGTTAGATGTATTCGATTAAGCTTAAAAATACGCCCAACTAATAACAAGTTTCAGCGCGGAGATAAAAAAATATATATTCTATAATTCGTATAAAGGATTTACTTTTAAGTATCAGGTATAAATAGAAACTAAGAAAACATTTATAACACAATATATTTTATATTATTTTAGAGCAATTGCTTGACGGACACATATTGTAAAAATATTTTTATTTCTCATTTTGATTACATACATGTATTATGAAAACCTATACTAAAATATTTGCAAATTTATAAAAACTTAAAAAATCTCTATAAACTACAGAAATAAACATTAAAAAGCTTTTGCTCAAAAGAAACGCGTTTTGCGACACTATGGTGTAAATAATGAAATATGATTGTCCATACCAGTGGTTCTTAACCTTTTACCGATTTTTATCTAGCCATGGACCGCCAACATTTTTATTCATTAAATAATGGTATGGCTGATTTTTAACTTTGTTTTAAACACACACAAAATTAGTTTGTGGAAAGGGGTGTCATTGGGCGCCCCTTATTTTAATGTAGCACATTGTACGGAAACCGTATCGGCAGTATCTGACTATACTGTGGTATACTGATTATCATCTCCAGGCATACTATATGTTGTATACTTTTGTATATGTGAGATAATTGTAGGATGCCTTCGCGGACCATTTCAAGTACTTTGAAGGACCACTAGTGGTCCACGAACCGGTTGAAAACCACTGATCTATACAAATATATCCATAAAATTATTATAGCTGAGTACAAAAACAAATTAATCACTACAGCAAATTTATTTACTTGAGACGGCACTACAGCAGGTTGTACTTACCAACAACATTGAGCTGTACGAAGTGGCTCATCTTGGGCTCGGTGCCTACTTGGCACTCGTACACGCCGGCGTCTCGCGCCTGCACGTACTTCACCTGCAACCGCGGAACAATTGAAACTGGCTTCCAAGGAGGTTTCATTAATTAACTGGCTGTGATTGCAATCTGTGCACTTAGAGATCTTACAGAATAAATATTTGTTTTCACTGTTCTGCATTTTATTAGGTACGTAATTATTTTTTAAATTGTTACAATTTTAAAACCAACCCTAAAATTGCCAACCTACTTGCGAAGCGTAGCAAATATTGCAATTATAACCTGTTTTCGAGCGCCAACACCCCCCCCCCCCCTACATTGAGTGATGATATAGTAAGATATGCAGGAAGTCAATAGCTCAGGACCATGCTTTGTGGTATTTCTTAGGGGCGGCCTATGTTCAGCAGTGAAATTGTGAAGGGCTGTAATGATGATGATGGTTTATAAAACAATTATGTTCTTTAGGAGTCAGGATGACGAACAAGCGCATAGTGCTCTTGACGGTGAGTGAACGCTGTAGTTCACAGGCACCTATATCTATCTCGATTAAGAATCAAGTATAGATGCGTTGTTATCCACGATGACTCATATGAAATGTCTCGTTACATGTAAAACGGGTCTCCGGGTCTCGTCACCTATTATACAAAACATAGAAGCAGGTGATACTTTAGTATTCTGTGTGAGCGGGGTCGTTCCCCGGTTGGACTGATCCATTGTTGCTGAAATCGCTGTAATATAGTAACGTATTATGTCATTAAGTTCATCGTTATCATATTTAAAAAATAGAAAAATAATGCGATATGTACTTTAAGAGGATACCGGCTGCAAAAAATTAGAAGAATGAGTTTTTAACACTATATTTCAGTCACGCTGTGTTTTAAAATAATTAAACTAAAATGACTTCTTATATTTACGTGAATAATACATATTAAATTAAAATAATTTTAAGAATTTTATCCCGTTTAATTATAACTTTTTTGATTCCCTTGTTCGTGTCCGATGTTTTTCATTAATTTATGAAATAACAATGCATAGGAATATGACAGAGGCAATTCTTGAATATATCTTAAAAAAAATTGTTCTAGTGTATTCAATTAAAAATTTTGTACAGCCGACTTCGTTCTTATTAAGAATAACTCAAAAACCATTGGTCTGACCTTGAGAAGTACCAGCTTTCAAATAAAAAAGAATCATCGAAGTCGGTTCACCCAGCAAAAAGTTATGAGGTAACACACATAAAAAACATACAGTCGAATTGAGTACCGTCTCCTTTTTGGAAGTCGGCAGATAAAAATGTAATCTGTGGCGCTAAATTTTACTTCAATGTTATTACCGTGTAATTGTTGCAAAAAAATACGAGTATTTACCTGTAATGTCCAAGTATCGGTCGCCTCTACTAGGAAAGCTTGAAACCGCTCGTCGGCTATGAACGTGAAGCGATCCACCGTAAGTATGTGGGCGTCTCTTCGCCTTATCCACGACACTGACTTGTTGCTCAGCTGACGTATCTAAAAGCAACTTAATGGATAACACCGTACACTATCAAACGCGATGTCGCAAAGTGACCCCTTAATCAATCTGCAATTGGATTCAAATTCATCAGAGGATATTGTTATATTAAAAACCTTACACAACTTTAAAAACCTATAGAAGTATTTGCAACGCAATTGCATTTATACGCTTCTGCAAGTATTTATGTTACATGTTATAGTTTTTGCACGAACGGGTGACTGCAGAGAACCGAAGACCTTTTTCATTGGGAACAATGAATTCCACTATATTCTTATTCTCATTTTCATCTTTAATATGTAAAACATAAGTAGTACACGCAGAAATGTACAGCGGGTTTATTACTAGCATTTGTTTCTAAAATAAGGGTAACAAATGAGCACACAGTCAACCCGATGGTGGACTGTGCGCTCATTGGTTTGAGTTGACCCTTATTCTGTGTGAGTTGCTGCGGCCCATAGACAGCTACATCTATCTTAGATAAATATTTAAAATAAAGATGCGTTGTCCCTCCTGAGGACTAACATAGACTGCTTCCACCATTAATAAGAGTCTCCGGTTCTCTGCAATTTTTTTTAGGATCGGGTGACAAACGAGCACACAGTCCAACTGATGGTAAGTGGTTACTGTGACCCATAGACATCTACATCTATCCTCAATAAAGACTCAAGATGCAGATGCGTTGTTACCCGTGAGGACTGGAATGCCTCTTTGCCAGTAAAATGGGTCTCCGGTTCTCTACACTCACCATCTGAAACACAGCAGCGTTAAGCTGTTATTTTACGCTGGTTTTCTGTGAGAGCGTGGTGCTTTCCCGGTCTACCACCATAATATAGCCGCAATTACCATACAAAACTCATTAAGCTGCTATTCCATTCCGTGAGGAAACGCAGCCAGTGTTCTTGGCACGATACCACGGGGAGTAGGTCTGTATGATACTTCAAGTTACTTAGTAGTAGTTAAGTACTTTTAGTTATTTTATTATATTTATTATATTATAGACATTAAGAGGGAACGCAGGGCTCTAGCGGTCAGGAGTAACATGCTGGCCCGTAGATTTGCTCGATGTACGGACTTAGTTAAAATTACCCTATTTAAGGCATACTGCCAGAGTCTGTATACGAGCAATCTATGGATCAATTACAATAAAAGGTCGCTGGATGTCCTGCGTGTTCAATATAATAATGCTTTCAGAATGTTGTTGGGACTGCCTCGATACTGTAGTGCGTCGGAGATGTTTGCGCAAGCTCGCACGGACGGTTTTCATGCGATAATACGTAAGAAAACAGCTTCGCTGCTTAGAAGGGTGAGAGATAGTCACAACAGCATTTTGAAAGCAGTAGCGGAGAACTATAATTCTCCGATTTTGAAAAAGTTTGTCCACACATTAATGTTTACTAACACTAGTTTATAAGTCAATTGTTACTAACACTACTATGGATTAATTTTGGTCCGAAATAAAGATTATTATTATTGGGGTTATCTATAAAGTTTTCTCATCTGGTTGGGCTATTTAAATATATAATTATAAAAGAAATATATAAACATACATAAATATCAATAAAATAGTATAAATACATAAAAAATACATAAATATATAAAAAAACCCAACCAGATGGAAGCCCTCGGCAGGGGAGACCAAACGGCCGAGGGTTAGGGGGAAAGGGAAAGAAACCGGCGGACGATGCGGGCGGTATCGAGGAGCACCGCCTTCTGCATTTGAGCTTGGAGCGGTCCGTCACGGAGTCCCAGTCGCCTCAGATGACCCGAGAGGCTAACTGGGATTAACCCGTTCGCAGAAACGACCACAGGAATAATTTCGGCCGGCAGACCACCCCACATGTCGGTCACCTCGTGAGCCAGGTCCAGATATTTTGTCAGCTTATCTGTTTCGGCTTTCACGAGGTTCTCGTCATAGGGAATGGTAATGTCGACCAAAAATATCCTTGACTGTGCCCGGTCCATCAGCACAATATCAGGCTTATTCGCAAGAATAGTCCTGTCTGTGATGATGGCCCGGTCCCAGTAGAGCCTGGCGCGGTCATTTTCGAACACGGCTTCCGGCAAGTACTTATAATATGGCAGTTTCCGATCCACGAGACCGTATTTCAGAGCGAGCTCCTGGTGTAGAATCCTGGCTACTAGGTTGTGTCTGTGCAAATACTCAGAGTTAGAAAGCGCCGAACAACCGGAGATGACATGCCTAAGTGACTCACCGGGATGGCGACAAGCTCGACAGATGTCGACGGTGGCATCCTTTAGGATATGTATCTCCGATAATTTTTGGTCTTAATAACCTGATCCTGTATTGCACAGACAAAACCCTCAGTTTCCCCAAAGAGGTCACTGAAACGTAGCCAGTGGAGGGAGGCGACTGTGTCTACGAAAGGCTCATGAAGGGCCTTGTAGAACCTCCCGTGGAGCTCCTTCTCCTTCCATACGATCTCCCGGTCGGAAATGCTCTGTACTGCCGGGTCTTGCCATTGCTCGTTGGCTAAGGATAGAGGGGTTAGCCCTTTATCACAAGAAATAACGTCCCTATAGTATGGATCATCCGCTCTCGTCAGAAAGTAATTACGGAGGCTGCACACTTCGCGATTATGCATGATAAGCGCGCTTAAAAAGCCGCGCCCACCATGCTTTCGCGGCAATTACAGCCTCATTACTGACGATCTCGGATGATGCATCCTGTGGGACGTCATTATAGTGCGGACTTTTTTGTCCAGAGCGTTCAGTTCGGTCTGAGTCCACCTGAGTATGCCAAAGGTATACATGAGAACAGGCATGATCCAACCGTTATATGCGTGCGTCTTATTCACACCGGACAAAAGGCTATTAAGCACTTTGGTCAAGCGTGCATAAAACACATCGCAAACTGACCGTTTCATACCCGACTCATCTACACCGATGTTCTGTGACATACCCAGGTATCGGTATGTTTCAGCCTCGGAAAGGGTCCTTATGCTAATGGGCATAGATAAGTCTATGCCCTCAGAGTTAGCAACCCTTCCCCTTCCGACATGGAGGACCGCACACTTATCCGTCCCCAGCTCCATTCTAATAGAATTGCTAAAATCACAAGTGATGTTTAGCAATTCCATAAGATGAGAGCGAAGGGGGATGAGTCGCTCGCGTCCGTAGGCTTCGACCACCTAATCCTAGGCCCACCCTACACGTGTCCCCCGGGTGGTGCTAAACGAGCGACAAAGCCGAAACGACAGACTCGGCTCCTCGCCGTATGGTAGCGGCATAAAATCTACCACCCCTTAGTTCGCACCATGAGCCAATAAGGAAAAGAAATGGCCCCGAGTTCCCGGCGCCCCTTTAATGGGGCAGAGGTGCGAAGAATCTCCGGGAGAAAAACCGGCGACGAGGTTCGCCACCCGTCACGTCCTGTCTCCCGGGGGGGCGAAAAGTGGATTGCGGAGGCCCGTCTGGCCACGCTGAATGTATGTGGAGCAATGAATGATAAGATGGATGAAGTATGCGAAATGATGAATGATAGAGGAATAGATGTGTTATGTGTAAACGAGACGAAACGAAAGGGAAGAGATGTCACTGCACATGGCATGTATACCGCTTACTGGTCTGGAGTAGACGAGACCGAGCGGGCATGCCAAGGAGTCGGTGTCATCCTTTCAGAAAGAATGGGTCAATGCGTGAAAGAGTATGAATGTGTTAGCCCAAGGCTGCTGTGGATGCGAATGAAAGTGGGCTTAAAGAAGTTGTTTGTGCTAGGGGTGTACGCCCCAGATATGTCTAAGCCCACTTATATCCGAGAGCAGTTTTGGGACATGGTAAGGCTGGTGTTGATGAAATGTAAGGAAAATGAAAATATTATTATGTTAGGAGATTTTAATGGAAGGGTTGGGGTGAAGAGGTCTGGTTATGAAAGGATATTAGGATGTTTTGGCGATGAAAGAATAAATGAGAATGGTGAAGACCTCCTCACCGTATGTGTGGAAAAGAATCTTTTTGTGGCGAACACTTTCTTTCGCCATAAGAGGATTCACATGTATACATGGGAAAGAGGGGATGATAGAAGCATGATAGATTTGATAATTGTGGATGAAAGAATGAGGAGCGCAGTGGTAGATACAAGGGTTTACCGGGGGTCCAACGTAGGGACGGATCATTACTTGGTCTTATGCCGAATTAATGGTCTATTCAGACGTTGGCGGCATCGGACATCGGTGTCTACCACTGCGTTACAGCGTATAAGAATAGAGAGGTTACAAGATGAAGGTGTGAAAGAGAAGTTTAAATGCAGATTGAGGGAAAATATAAGTGGGTTGAATGAATTATGTATGAATGATTTAGAATTGAAGAATGTATGGAATAATATTAAGAAAGCTTTGGTGGATGCAGCCACCGAAGTATGCGGTGTAAGTAAGAGAACGAATGAAAGGGAAAGTAATACGTTGTGGTGGGATGATGAGGTACGGATGGAAGTTGAAGCATAGAAGAGAGCATGGCTAGATTTACTAGCAACTAAAGCTGGTAATTCTGGCGGTATGAATGATAAGATTGAAAGAAAAAAGGCAGACTTTAGACGTATAAATAAGAGAGTAAAAGAAGTTGTTGAAAGGAAAAAGCAAGAAAGGATAGATAAGAATGATAGAAGGATATCTGATAACTTCCAGGCAAATATTAAAATGTTCTGGAAGCTCGTAAGAACTGCCAGGGGAAATTCAAAACAGCCTAGAATAAATGCTATACGAGACGAGAATGGCTGCATGCTGAATGATGAAGTTTCGAATTTAAAGAGATGGAAGGAATACTTTGAAAGCGTGTTTAAGAGTGAAGAGTCGTCTGGAATAAGTGAAATAGAAATTCCGGAAGAAGTGGAGAGAGGTAGGGAGATAAGTGTAGATGAAATAATGAAAGCAATGAAAAGCATGAAAGCAGGTAAGGCAGCCGGATATGATAGAGTATCACTCGAAATGCTGAGGGCTGGTGAGGGTGTGGTTGCAGGCCTGCTGCACACCTTGTTTAATTTGTGTTGGGAACTGAAACGGGTACCAGAAGACTGGTGCAAAGCCGTTATAGTCCCAATATATAAGGGAAAGGGGTCGCAGCAGGACTGTAAAAACTACCGTGGTATCAGCTTGCTTAGCATTGTGGGTAAACTGTATGCTAAGGTGTTAATTGAAAGAGTTATGGAAGAAACTGATGGAAAAATTTGGGATGTGCAAGCTGGATTTAGAAAGGGGATGGGGTGTACGGATCAAGTCTTTTCCATGCGCATGATAGCGGAGAAGTTTTTGGCTAAAAACCAGAAAGTTTTTTGTGCGTTCATGGACTTGGAAAAGGCTTATGACAGAGTGGACAGGAATGTGTTATGGCAAACACTGAACTCATTTGGGTTGAGCGCTGGCTTGATACAGGCATTAAGATCTCTTTATAGGGACTCTAGTGCTTGTGTCAGGGTCAACGGGGTCTACTCGGACTGGTTTGGCATTCATAAAGGTGTCAGACAGGGATGCGTGGCTTCCCCGTGGCTGTTTAACCTATTTATGGACAGTTGTTTGCAAACTTTGACAGTTGAAGAATGTGGGGTGAGAATGGGTGAGTCAATCGTCAAATGCCTTTTGTACGCCGATGATCAAGTCATACTTGCATCGTCGGCGGCCGAGTTGCAAATGATGGTTACTTTAATGAATTGGTCATTGAAAGAAAGGGGTATGAAAATGAACGCAAGTAAGACAAAAGTGATGGTTTTTGAAAGAGAAGAAAGTAAAACTTTATGTGAAATAAGAATAGAAGGGGAGTTGATTGAGCAAGTGGATGAGTTTGTATATTTGGGATGTTTATTTAGCAGGGATGGTAGATATGATAAGGATATAGAACGACGAGTGAACACAGGAAATAGAGTGAATGGGGCTCTACACGCTATTATGAGGAGTCAGAATGTGTCAACTAAGGCACGTATGGCAATTCATAATGCTGTGTTAGTCCCTACTTTAATGTATGGTAGTGAAAGTTGGGTCTGGCAGAAGAAGCATGAGAGTAGAATAAATGCTGTAGAAATGCGTTCCTTAAGGAGTATGCTAGGGCTGAATCTGAATGACAGGGTGAGAAATAGTGTGATAAGAGAAAAGTGTGGTTTGCAAGATGACGTTGTGACAAGGATTAAGAAAGGAATGCTTCGGTGGTTTGGTCATGTAGAAAGAATGAACGAGGAAAGAGTGACAAAGCAAATTTATGTTGCGGAAGTGAACGGCAGGGTCGGGAAGGGACGCCCTAGACGAAGGTTTATCGACCAAATCGGCGATACATTAAAAATGGGCCAGATTAGGAGTACCCTTAACCGACGAGCGTGTATGCGTAGATATATGTAAAAGAGGCGAGAGAGGTGTGTCAGGATCGCGCCAAATGGAAGTCCGTAGTCTCTGCCTACCCCTCTGGGTGACAGGCGTGAGTGTTTATGTATTATGTTATGTATGAGAGCGACTGGAGGCGAATAATTTGAGATCATCCATATAGAAAAGGTGGGTCACTTTTGTACCTCCTCTCCGAAGCTGAAATCCCCTCCCGGAGCCCTCCAGTAAGGTACTGAGAGGGTTCAGAGAGAGGCAGAACCAGGTTGGACTCAAACAATCGCCCTGGAAGATACCCCTTCTTATCCTTATGTGGTTCCGCAGCCGTCATCCGCTCGCCTAGATGACAAAGGATCGTACTCCATTGCCCCATACACTGCCCGAGGAAGTCTCGAACTGTACAGTCAACCTTGTACAGCTCGAGGACCCTCTTAAGCCATGTATGAGGCACCGAGTCGAATGCCTTTTTGTAGTCTATCCAGGCGGCGGAGAGGTTCCGACGGTTGCGTTTAACCACCTTGCCAATGACCGCGTCAATGAGGAGTGGTTCCTTGGTTCCACGACCACCGCCCCGACATCCATTTTGAGCGCGCGACATCACCTGGTTTGAGTTCAGGTGACGAATGATTCTCGCGCTCAAAATGGATGTTACTGTCTTGTATATGGTAGGTGGACACATTATGGGGCGGTATTTGCTCGGGTCTGTGGAATTCCGGTCCTTAGGAACCAAATGAGTGATCCCAGTAGTGAAGAGGCTCGGGAGCGACTTTTGGTCGAGAGCCTCTTGAAACTGTCGGGCAAGCATAGCGTGACACACCATGAACCCCTTGAGCCAGTAGTGATGCAGTCCGTCGAGTCCCGGACTTTTCCAATTCGGGGCCCTACGGACCGCCTCAGCTACGTCATCCGGCGTTATGAGGACGGGGTCCATGGGCGTAACATTCGCACACTGATTCGCCACGACTTCCGTCCAAGGGCCCTCGCTGTGGTTTACGGGCTCTGACCACAGGCCGCGCCAGAATGCGATAGTGTCGGCCTGATTCGGTGCTGGGCCCGTTCCACGTACCATTGGTCGCTCCAGTGATTCATAGAGCCTCTTCTGATCACTCTGGAAGAAACGATTCTGGTTGAACCGTGTCGATCTTTCAGTATATCGCCGAATCCGCTTCCCCCAAGCAGCGATTCTCTGCTTCAGGTCGTCTATGCGCTCTGTCAGTTTTTGCGTTATATCCGGCTGGGACAATCTGATATTTGTCCCAGCAAACGCCATCCTGACGGTGCGCACAATTCTCGGCCTATTATTGCCTGACCTGAAGCTTATCAGTCTGCCGATAAGGGCCCTTGCCTTTGCGATACGGTCCTCAATCTTTCTTCTCCAGGCTGGGATGGCGCTACATTGTCTAGTAGCGCGTCCAGCCGTGGGAAATTTGGCGCCAATAATGCGGCAAACTGCCATTGCGGCGCCAAAAAGAATTGAGTCCGTCTCGCAAAGGTCCCGGCTGGCTTCCAAATAGGTCACCAGCATTGGGTTGAGAGCCCTCACGACAGCCCGATTCCGCTTGCTTAGGGGCATGCGCGGGAGTCGCTGTCGATTTTCGAGAGGCATACTGCGCGTTTCCAAAATAGCCTCTTCCAATGTACTCCTCATTTGCTCTAGTTCTAGTTCCTGGGCGACTGTTCCATCATCGTCTGAACCAACCATAACTGAAAGATTCACGGCGGCATCCACGTGTGCTGGTTGCTCTGCATTTTGTGGCGCCGCATCCTCAGCCGTAGCATTGTCATCCGATGAGGGCACAGCCTCACGTCGTAGCCGTTCGAGTTCGGTGCTATCGAATATGTTTTAGCGCAAGATATACCGAACTCGGTCTGCCAGGTTTTGCTCGGTGACGGTTATAGATGGCTCCAGCTCAGCAAAAAGTCGATGCATCCTAGCCCGATACGCAAAACCTCCAATTTCTCCCCCTTTCGCCCTAAAATACGCCCGCAATGCGTTGCTATTCATCTGCATTGACCAATGCATGCGGCGTACTCCACCAGTGGCGGGTGCTGATTGCTGGGCCCGCGAAGACCCTGCTAACACCAAGCCAGCTGGTGGGGATGATGGATGCGAGGGGCTGCTAGGTGGTCGTGCAGCACCTCGCACTCGGCTGGCGGCCCGCATGCTGTCGCGACCAGCGCCAGCTCCAGACGCGCCCCGGCGACCCCCAGGCAGCGGCCCTAAACGCAGTCTATTTCCTTCCATCATCCATAAATTGGGCGTCAATTAACGGGAGACGCCCAGGCCCGGCACCGTTTCATGATTTGGCCGAAAGCACAAGCGGGCCCAAATTAGCACCCTCAATTCTGCCGAGGCACGGCGCTCACACCTCTTGGCAAGATGCTGACTGACTGCGCTGACGTAGCAGTTTTGTCACATAACCATTACGTCAGCGGGCGATAGGGTCGTCACTTCCCTACGCCACGTTATTATTATTATTATTACAGTTTATTATAATTGTATATATTTTATAGTACTTAAGTAAATAATAATTTTTTCATTAATTTAATATATAATTATCTTTTCTGGTTTCTGCAAAAATTAATATCATTGTTCCATTTAACCCATTTCAGGATTCAACGGTCACTAGTCTGTTTGTGTAATGCATTATCAGCAGGTCACAGCTATTATATCTATGACAGTTTACCTTGCACGGTAGATAAGCGTGAGTGCCAAGTTGTGCAGTAATGTTGTTGGGTGCGGAGGGGTCGAAGTAGGGCCCCGTGTACAACCCCACGTAGCGCTTGACCAGCCGCCCGCCGCTTCCGGTCTCGCCACATGATAGTACTGCGAAGGCAATTAATACAAGTTTAATTTAATAAACGAACCCGATAAAACATATTTAGCTGTAAATTGAGATAAGAAGTAGTGGTAAAGGAGATGCTATGATGGCTCCGTAGTATAGTGGCTTAGCAATGAGTTGTTGCGCTGGGTGCCGCGGGTTCGAATCCCGCACGGAACAAGTATTTGTATGGCCTACAAATAATTGTTCCGGGTCTGGATGTTTGTCCTCGTGCAATTTATGTTTGTAAACTGCCTAAACGACACAAGAGAAAATCATAGTGTGGAGGTAACGTTTTTTTTTAAAAAAACAAGAAACAAAAAAAAAGAAAACAAGATGCTGCTATTACATACAAAAAAAACTAATTCTTCGGGTCTGGTTATAAGATTTTTAAGTCGTGAAATGTATGTCAGAATATAAAATTTGATGATGCAAAATTTTAAAAATAATGTATGGAATTCCCACCAACCAATCAACGCTCTGGGAAGTCTGCAGTTTGTGATCATATCCCAGATGGTCCTTGCCATTACATTAGATTTGATAGAACACAAATTCTCGCGAAAGAACATCGATTTCTACCGAGGATGATATGCGAGGCTATTGAAATAAAAAAAACAATTAATTTCAATAGAGAGGAAGGCTAGATACTACCACCTACTTGGGAACCTGTAATTAACAAAATTAAAACTAAACCCAAGCATACAAACAAGACTTTAAGACACAGTAAGTTCATTCTGGGTAGATCGGAACAAAATGAATAATTAAAAAGCTGAAAGTACTCCGGGTTAACTCTGACATCGGGACGTAAAATACCTCAGTAACCCGTGACTATGGGTGCTGGAAAGCATCCGAAACGTTGGGAATTAAAAATAAGAACAGTTAAACGCGATAAAATCCGTAAAAGTAGTTTTATTCAAGATGTTACAATTTAATTAGCTAAAATCCGCGCATTATTTTTCTTCTGATCTGAGATAACAACTATTCATTCTAAAGATTTGTTCTAATATAGGGGAATCAACAAGCAATTTGTCAATCTGGTGGTGGTTCGATTACGACTCAAAATGCAATATCACTGTCACCTCTTTTAGTATTTACATGGAATACATCGCTACTACTATAAAAAGGGCATATTATTCAAATTAGTTTCCGTATGCATTTCATTCATTAGTTTATGTTATATTTTATGTATGTGTATACATATATCTATAAAATAGTAAAACTTAAAGGGTTGATAACTTATAATATACTTCTTAAAATGCAAATTATTTTTTTATAATGATATTATGTAGCTTGCAGGGTTTATATTTTTCCTATATATCTAGAGTAAGGTGTTCTGCGGATAGATATTTTTCTTAAAGAATATGGATGACAAACTAGTACACAGTACGTTTTTACATCTACGTTTTTTCTCGATTAAGAATCAAAATTCAAATGCATTGTTACCGCTGAGAACTAAGATGGAATGCCACGTTTCCAGTAAAAAGGGTTTCCAGTTCTCTTCACTCACCATAAGAAAAACAGCAGCAGGATATTTTGTTAGAGCGTGGTCCGACCTCGGTCGAACCGACCCATTCGTGCTACTACCATGCAGCATGGCTCCACTACGTTAACGATAGTACATATTAGTAACATATTTGTTTCTTTTTGTTTTTATTTGTACATTTATAAAATAATTTAACTCTAATGTTATATAAGCAAATGTAGTATGTGTGACGGCTTTACTCAGGGAATGATTGAAAAGTAGCATCTCATGCTGAGACCTTAACCCTTTCGTTCGCTTTTAAGTATATGAGTTCCAACATGATAAATATGTTATTAGTTTAACTTATGTTTGTATTACTTGCAAAAAGTGTAGTGAATAAATATCTTATATGATTATTTTGATGTGATGTATAGGTAATAATATCATTTTTTTTTCATTTTTTAAACGTTACCCTCACCCTAGGCTTTTTTTCCTGTATCATGTAGGCAGCTTACATACATAAGTTCTACAAGGACAAACATTCAGGCTCGGAAAAATGACTTATAGGTAATATAAATTACTTGTTCCGTGCGGGATTTCAACCCGTGGCCCTGGGCGCGGCAAGTCATTACTAAGCCACTGCGAAACGAAGCCGTCAAAATATTATTAAATAAAATAGAACAAGTTAAAAAGAATAGCTTAGAACGTATTTATAAGAGTTCCTGATATGAAAACACACGATAAAACGTAATTATATATTTTTATTTAGACTAAGTATTTCATGTTCTAATATTTAATATCGCTGCATGAATAAAATATCTGACTTGGTTTTTCAATGCGCGGTTAAGTCCGACGTCTTTTGCGATATTTGAATTTTCCATTCAATAATCTACGTTGCCGTTTTCCTTTGGATCCATATTTAAAGCTTGCCCTGCATATTTATGCTTAAGATCAAAGTTAAATAACACTAGCAGATTTATTATTCCAATAAGGAGTAATGATTTCTTATATTTACGCGAACACTACACATTTAAATAAAACTAATTTTACGGATTTTATCGCGTAAATTAACTTATTTTATATTACCGACGTTTTGAGTCATGGTCATGGGGGGGGGGGACTGAGGTGTATAACGTCCCAATGGCAGAGTTAACCACGGCTACCTCCAGATTAAAAATAGTTAATTTTTGTTCCGATCTACGCAGTATGAACTTACAGCATCTTGAAGTTTTACAAACGCGGATTTTTATGGATCTTTTCTTTATGGATCTTTTGGTTTGTCCTATATAAGAGAGACCCGCGTTGAACAGCACATAGCTGATGTGAAGAATCGACGCTCTGGGAAGTCTGCAGTCTGTGACCACGTACAGGATCCTTCACCGTTACTACATTCGATTTGATAGACCACAAATCCTCGCTAAAGAACACCGATTCCTTCCAAGGATGATTCGCGAGGCTATTGAAATCAAAAAACATCCCAATTTTTTATAGAGAAGATAGCTGGATGCTACCATCTGCTTGGGATCCCATAATTAATAAAATTAAATCCAAACCCAAGCATACAACTGCAAGACTTCAAGACACTGTAAGTTAATATTGCTCAAGTTTTGAATGACATGTCACTGGTCAAAACAAGATAACAACTACAAAAAAGGTAAATCATGACCTCGAAAAATGAACCCAGCCCTCTATATAAATTAACAAGCAAGTGTATAAAATTCTGTGACAAAAATCACAGAAAAAAGATTATACAAAAATATACCGAACAGGGTTGTGAGTGTAAATCATATTAAAGAACTACAACCTAATAAATCTTAGTTCGATGGTCTGAAATAGTTGGGATAAAAATCACACAACCGCAGAGAGATTAATAATATTGCCCCAGACTATTATTGAAATTTGTGAATTGCTGAGCAAAGGGCAGAACATAACAACTATGAAAACATTTATCTACGAAGAATCAGAAAAATGGCAGAGGCTATTGACGAATTTGAAATCATGCAAGCGATAACGAATCTTAAACTGGAAGATAGCCCAGGGTTTGACAACATCACCAATGAAGCTATAAAGCATGGCAGCATGTTTCTAGCTACACCACTTGTAATTATGTTCAATGTAATACTAGGATCCGCAAATACGTCTTCGTAATGGTAAGAATCTAATATAATCGTTCTATATGAAGAAGGTGATTGAAATGTCGTCGGCAACAGAAAAAAGGTGCATCAACTTTATATAAACTGAGAATAGTTTATATAACGGCTATAGAACGTAGAATACTTATTACGAATTAAGAAAACTTATTAAAGTCTTAATAAGTTTTATTAATTCAGAATAAGCAACCTACGATAAGAGCCGTGGTAGCTCAGATGGTTAGCGCTCGCTGTAAGCTTCAGAGTACTCGAGCAACCTGGGTTCGATCCCCGCCGGCACCAATGAAATTGTTAATTGAAATTTTAAGTGCTGATTTACCACGTGCTCGGCGGTGAAGGAAATAATTGTGAGGAAATCTGCATGTCTGAGAAATAAAAAAAATATTTCGAAGACATGTGAAGTTCGCCAACACGCATTGGGGCAGCGTGGCGGACATTTTCCTTGCCCTAAAACCCTATCAGAAATGAGATGAGGCCTGTGCCCAGCAGTGGGACGTAAATAGGCTGCAACTTTACTTTTACTTAACCTACGACGGACCATGTCCACACCCTATACTGGTCCAAGCTCAAGTCCCATCAAATGTTGAGTTATACAAAGAGATCAAAATTATTATAGCTGTACTGGAAATCACGTGTCTTTAATATCAAAAGCAAATACTTGAGTCATTTAAGATTCGTAAACCAGCTAGTTTTACTATCTGAAAATAGTGGCTACAATACACGACGTACTATATAAACAGGAAGCATAAAGGAGGGCTCAGAAATAAATATGTACAAAAAAATTCATGTCAGATAGCTCAAGAATAAACATCATGATTGAAAATTTATATCTACCTCGGAAATAAATGGGGTTTAAAAACAATAACAACGCGTTGAAGTAAAACGAAAATTATCATCATCAATCAACAAAAAAATAGCTTAAAATAAATTCTGGTCATATTAGTTACATGCCGGTAGAGTTAAAAAAGGAAATTATGGACTCGTGTATACTTCGCTGCGCCAGTCGTGGGCAGACTTATGAAAGGCTGAAGTGATGATGATGATGATGAGACATTTCATCTTAGCCCTCAGAGGTGACAAGTGTAAACACATAATGCAAACTTAACGTAAAACAAACTATCTGATCAATATTAAACACTTTAATTAATAGTTTTATCACATTTGGTATAACTTAATTTTAAATCCAGACATTGCGAGTACTCCACAACACCCATATTCAAGGGACAGAGGCGTTTGATGCCCTGATGTTATAGTTGACCAATTATACTTTTATCCTTTGTTGTATAAAGAGTTTTCTGTATCTTTAAGTTTTGTAGAGGTATGCTTGGGCCCAGCTACAATCTTTGGTCGTAATTAAACTTACAAGTAATTAAACCTCCCAATAACTTTTTTA